CTGAAGACATTTCCCTTCTCATCCAAGAAGCTTCTTCAGCTTTGACTGGATGGTGGGGGAATGGAAGGATTTATGTTCCTTGCAGATAGTTGGTCATTTGCATCTTTGTAGAGAGTTGTTGAGGCCGCTTGGAGGTTTATCTGTGTCCTCAGAATTACCTGAGTGTGGCTGCTCCGGCCCTTTGGAACGAGCTCCCCGTGGAGATTCGGACCCTCACCCCCCCCCAGGCCTTCGGCGGAGCCCTTAAAACCTGGCTGTTCCACAGGCCTGGGGCTAATGAGTTTTTTTGTCCCCCCTCGAATGGTATGGTTGTTGAGTGTTTTAAATTGTGGTATTGTTTTGTTCGTGTTCTTTTTTCTTATTTGTACCCCCCCTCCCTGATTTGGTTGTGAGCTGCCCTGAGTCCCCTTCGGGGAATAGGGCGGCATAGAAATATAATAAACTCAACTCAACTCAACTCAACTCAACTCAGTTTATGAGGTGCTATTTTTTTGTTTGTAATTGTCTGACTATTAGTTATAAAAATATGAAGTTGTATAATCAGAATATATTGGCCTAGAGTTACTAATATGTGGTATTATTTTTTATTTATTGCAGGGAATGGGCTAACCGAGCTTCATCTGTCCATTTTCTAAGAATTTTAATTTGTATAAGATTATTAATGAGAGATCCATGCTATCAGGTTAGCTTGCCTTTAGTTTACCTCTTAAAACAATCAGCATTAAATTCTGTAACACAAGTGTAACTACTAGTTAATTATTAATGCAAGTCAGTGGCTTTTCTAGTAGTTCCTTATATCATTTGTCCAATCTAGTAAATTATATTATGATTATTATCATGGTAATTTGGAATGATTTGGTGAGTGCATTTTCAGTTTGTCAGCATTGTTCTAGATCTATAAATAATTTAAAGCAACTTATTATTTTCACTGTTGCAGTAAGGTACAAAAGAGCTCTTTTTTGTTACATTGAATTAATTGAATAAAGCATTAAAACATTTTAGCGCTTTATTCAATAAATAAATAACAATTAATTCAGCAAAGCAGTTAATATAGCAAAGCAGTAAAAGAGCAGCAGTATGATTTTTAATTCTGCTAAATTGATCTAAACGGGTGTCAAGCTTGATTTCATTGAGGGCGCATCAGGGTTATGTTTGACCTCGGGGAGGTGGGGGGAATGGGTGTAGCCAGCTCAACATCATTTGTGTTGGGGGTGTGGTACGCTCTACCATAGAAAATGGGCATCACGAGTTCCATTTTCGGCTGTGATGGCTTCCTGCATTTCTCTGCCAGTGAAAATGGAGCTTGGGAGAGCTGTGTGCAGCCCTCCCAAACTCTGTTTTCACTGACAGAGGCACCATGGGCTGGTCCTTAACTGTTTCAAGAGTCTAGATCTAAGCACCACACAGGCTGAATTTGGCCCGCAGGTTTAGACACCCCTGGTCTAAACCAAGTTTTTGTTTGCCAACATAGACTCAAATGCAGAGCCCTAAAACCAATAATCAAGGCTTATTGTAGTAATTATTTAAAATGTGCACTATAGGAATTCCTTCCAGAAAATAATGAGAGGGAATGTGTTTGTGTGTGTGTTTGTGTGTGCATGCGTGCGTGCGTGCGTGCATGCATGCTGGTCTTGTTGGATTTGGGTCTTTTCCTGTGTAAGATTGAGATTGTCTTGGCAACGTTTCAGTGAGGTCTCACTTGCCATCTTCAGGCTGGGTTTTGGGCTTAAAGTGTAATAAGAGCTGCTGTCTTTCTATAAATCATGGTGGGTGGGTGTGGAGTGCTGGATTTGTTTCAGTAAGTGGAATGATTGGTTGTGTGGTTGTATCATGATTGGTAGATTGGTGCTGATTGGTGCTGGCTGTGAGTCTATTGTTTCGTATTGTAACAGCCTGGGTGGTGGGTGGGGCTCGTTTGTTGACTAGGGCTGGTTTCCAGATGTCTGGTAGGTGGGAGGTATCGTCACGTTTATTCATGTTGTGGAGATGTTTCTCTATTTCAATGGCTTCCATAATTATTCTCTTGTTGAAGTGTTCTGTTTTGGAGATTAACCTGGTTCCTTCTAATTTTTAAAGGAACCCGGTTAATCTCCAAAACAGAACACTATATTCCTAATTGGCAAACTTCAAGTTACTTCCCCTCTCTTCTCCTGTTACCATATCCAAGAAAGAATTGTTTGATGTATATCAGTTATGTTATCATAGAAATTCATAAAGCTTAGTACCAAGCACTTCAAGGTTGCTTCAATCAGCACACATTCCTTCTATGTTTCTGCCTTGCTAATATGCTCCTCCAAGAATGCATTTCCTCATACAAGCAATTCTTATAAAATTTATTTTCCTATCTCTAAAAACATGGGAGTGTTATTAGGTAGCATATAACTTAATAACATTAGTATACTGATGACACCCAGTTATATATGTGTGTGTGTGTGTGTGTGTGTGTGTGTGTGTGTGTATGTATGTATATATGTATGTGTGTGTGTGTGTGTATATATCTGGGTGTCATCAGTATACTAATGATATTTTGTCCAATGGTAACGCATGATCACATCTGTTTGATGTAAATATTAAAAAGGTGCAGACAAGCACCAAGCCCTGCAGCACCCCACAAAGCAGGGGATGTCAGTTAGATCTCTTGCTTCATATCAATAACAATTAAGATCACCCACAGAGGAAGGAGATGAACTTAGTACAGACACCCCAATTCCCTAAGTCATTCAAAAGATACTGTGGACAATGCTCGCCCCCAGATGAGTTTACAGATTACTAAAGGTAAAAGAAATAACAATAATCAAAGTATGCAAATTAAAACAGTGTCTGACAGACACTTGCCTGAATGATTTATTGTTAAGAGGAGCATATAACAGGATATCATACTTGGATTTCAGTAAGACATTTTACAAAGTGGACCACAATCTATTTCTTGATAAGCTAGAAAAATATGGGATAGATAGCATCACCACCAGAAGGATTTGTAACTAACTGACAAACCACGTTCAATAAGCAATGCTTAATGGAATTACTGTATTTTTCAGACTATAAGACTCAGTGGACTGTAAGATGCACCTAAATTTACAGGAGGAAAACAAGAAAGAAATAGTTTTTAGCCTCTCTGTGTTACATTTTCTCCCTCTCTGATCCCCAGAAGTGCTCCACACATCCCATTTTTGCAAAAAATTGGTTCATTTCTTTCGCCAAAAATGGATCCATTTCTTTTGCCAAAAATGGCTCTGTTTTTTGGCTCTCAAGCTCTCCACACATCGCATTTTCTCCCTCCCAGGCCCCCAGAAGCACTCTGCAGTGCTCCACATGACCCATTTTCACTAAAAATGGGCCTGTTTTCACCAAAAACTCACTCATTTTGTGGCCTTATGGGACCCTGGGAGGGTGAAACAGGGCTTGGGAGCCCAAAAATGATCTCTTTTTGGAAAAAAAATGGGCCATGTGGACTACTGCAGAGTGCTTCTGGGGGTCTGGATGGGTGAAAATGTGACGCTCAGAGGGTTCAGGAGGCCAATAATGCCTGTATTCATTATATAAGATGCACTTGAATTTTCATCCACTTTTAGGGAGGGATAAAGGTGCGTCTTATACTCCAAAAATACAGCACATCTAAATAGAGGGAAATAAGCAGTGGGGTATTCCAAGGTTCTGATTTAGACCCAATACTTCAATATCTTCATAAATGATTTATATGAGGGAATAGAAGGAGAGCTCATCGAATTTGCAGATGACGCCAAATTGGCAGGAATAGCCAAACTCCAGAAGATAGGCCCAAGATCCAGATTGATCTTGACAGACTTGAACACAGATCCTATCTAACAAAATCCAATGTTGAGTAAAGGAAGATTTTGTACTTATGGAAAAAAAACCAAATTCACGGTTTCCAAAGCACCAGAAGGCAAGACAAGAAACAATGGATGGAAACTAATAAAGTAGAGAACCAAACTATCATTGTCATCCTGACAATGAGAACTATCAACCAGCGGCTTGCCTACAGACGTTATGGAGGTTCCATCACCAGAAGCTTTTAAGAAGAGAATGGACATCCATTTGTCCAAAATGGTGTAGGGTCTCTGCAGAGCAGGAGTTTGGACTAGAAGAGCTAAAGAACCCCTTCCAACTATGATGATGGTGGTGATGATGTAGAAGAAGAATTATATGAAATAGTTCAAGATTCTAAAAACCAGATCAATCCAAAGGTCATAATTTCAAGGCAGAATCCATACAAATGCCATAAAGAGCCATAGATGAGTTGGATGTTTTCCTGCAGGATTCCCTCTTAAATTAAGCTACAACCAACTGTTACTGTCAAGATATGTACTGTTTTCTTGGCAAGACACCTGATGGAATGTCTCTGCTCTTCTCTTCCCTGCACTCACTGGGTGCACTCACTGGCTTGAACTATATCATTGTTATTTCACTGATCTTTGGCTTTGCATCTTGTGATGCTCACACTCTACAGGTTATGCTGGAGTGACTTCTTCAAAGTCAAACTCAGTGTCTGAGTCATGACCCATGACAAAACCCAAGAATACAGAACAGTCACTTGACATCACACAGCCATCTAGCTTATTCATCATGGGATCTCCAAGGCTGATGAAAAATGTTTTAGTTTTAGGGACTTTTCAGAGGTCAAGCAGGAATGAGATCAATCTCATCTCAGAGGAAATGATATTCTAGAGGGCAGGGGCCATAGCAGTACAGGCATGCTGTCTGGGTCCTGCCAGATGGAACTCCTTAGTAGGCAGGACATACATACCATTCTTGTTAAATTTAATGAAATAGTAAATAGTATAATTGGGAATACATTTGACATACTTACCTTTGTTTTTTCTTCTTTAGGAAATTCTTCACAGTCTGGGTGGAATTGACAGTTTAGCACAGGTACCATTCTAAAATAAATAATTGTTTTTTATATGTAGTCTTCAAAAGAGATGCCCCATGGTAAGATAGATGGCAAATTAATTTAAACAAACAAACAAAATAGTCTGTTTTCAGGGGCTCACTAAACAAAGGCTGTTCATCTTTTGAGATAATAAAAAAGTTTGAGATGAGCAAAGGTAAGAATATTTATGAAATCTAAATCTAGCCTTGGGAATGGGAAAGGGATAAATGAATTGTTAAAGGAGAATTTAGTTTGGTATAAAATGTACAATTGCAAGAAAAAGTATGTGTACCCCTTGGGATTACGTGGAGTTTTGCATGAATTGGTCATAAAATGTGCTCTGAACTTCATCTAAGACACAGCAATAGAAAACTAGTCTGCTGAAAATAATACTACACAAACATTAGATGTTTCCATGGTTTAATTGCACATAACATGTAAACATTCACAGTGCAGGGAGGAAAAAGTATGTGAGTCCCTAGCCTGATGACTTCTCCAAAAGCTAATTGGAGCCAGGAGTGAGCCAACCTTGACTCCCAATCAGTGTGATGATATTGGATGTGTCGCTGACAACTGTTCTGCCGTTTAAAAACACACACCTGTTTTGGGTTTACTGGTTTCAAGAAGCACTGTCTGATGTGAACCATGCCTCACAGAAAAGAGCTCTCAGACGACCTACGATCAAGAATTGTTGACTTGCATGAAGCTGGAAAGGGTTACAGAAGTATCTCCAAAAGCCGTGATGTTCATGTGTCCATGGTAAGACAGACTGTCTACAAATGGAGAAAATTTAGTACTCTTGCTACTCTCCCTAGGTGTGGTTGTCCTGTAAAAATGACTCAAGAGCACAGCGCAGAATGCTTCATGAGGTAAAGAAGAATCCTAGAGTGTCAGCTAAAGACCTCTGGCACATGCTAACATTTTTGTTGACACATCTACAATAAGGACAACATTAAACAAGAATGGAGTGCATGGAAGGACACCACGGAGGAAGCCATTGCTGTCCAAAAAAAACGTGCTGCAATACGTTTGAAGTTTGTAAAAGAGCACCTGGATGTTCCACAGTACTACTGGCAAAATATACTGTGGACAGATGAAATCAAAATTGAGTTGTTTGGGAAAAACACACAACACTATGTGTGGAGAAAAAAAGGCACAGCACACCAACATCAAAACCTCATCCCCACTGTAAAACATAGCCGAGGGAGCATCATGGTTTGGGGCTGCTTTTCTGCCTCAGGGCTGGGACGGATTGTTGTCATTGATGGGAAAATGAATTCCAGAGTTTATCAAGACATTTTGCAGGAAAATGTACGACAATCTGTCTGCCAACTGAAGCTCCGCAGAGGATGGGTGATGCAAAATGGCTTCAACAGCACAGAATACGCCCTCTGGAGTGGCCCAGTCAGAGTCCTGACCTCAATCCGATTGAAATACTGTGGCATGACCTTAAGAGAGCGATTCACACCAGACATCCCAAGAATATTGCTATACTAAAACAGTTTTGTGAAGAGGAGTGGTCCAAAATTACTCCAGATCCTTGTGCAGGTCTGATCTACAAATACAGGAAACATTGGTTGAGGTTATTGCTGCCAAAGGAGGGTCAACCAGTTATTAAGTCCAACAGTTCACATACTTTTTCCTCCCTGCACTGTAAATGTTTACATGTTATGTGTAATTAAACCATGCAACAGCTAATGTTTGTGTAGTATTATTTTCAGCAGACTGTGTTTTTCTATTGTTGTGACTTAGATGAAGTTCAGAGCACATTTTATGACCAATTCATGCAAAACTCCACATAATCCCAAGGGGTTCACATACTTTTTCTTGCAACTGTAGTAGAGAAAAATTCTGAAAGGCTTTCAAGATTCTGTTACGATACCCAGCAATTATAAATAAACTTTTCTGAAATCCTGCTGTTCCTCTTTTTTTGGACCTCATCTACCTTAAAGGACTACCATCAAACTGGAAAACCTCTGAGTTATTTTTTATGAAACTCCTTTAATTATTTGTTCATCTCTTTTCTTTTCCCAGGGCTATATCCCATTAAAGAATCAACGAGAAATTAAAAAAATGCCAAATCATCCAAAGGGTCAAAATGCTTAATCTCTGTTACATACTTTGCTATTATTTGGTTTGATATAAATTAGTTGTCATCAATGTTCCCTCTAAGCTGCGCGCCTGCGTGGCCGCACACATAACAAGAAAACACCGTGCATAAATTTCAAACTGCAGCGCAGTGTTTCTTTAAATGTGACTGAAAATATCCCCCCTCCCTCCCTTCTCTCTCTGCACTGAACTCTCTCCTCCATATGGTGATAGGTGAAATCAAGGAAGACTCTGCCCAGAGACCGATGGTGCTGCAGAAGGGAGAATTCCCACTGGCCCTATGGGGCTTTGTCGGTTCCTGGGAAAACGTGATTCGCTGGTTGTAGCCTGCATTTCTCTGCACATCCAGGGGTTTCTCAGGCATTGCATCGTCTGAAGCTCCGTTCTGGACTGGGCAGTCTTTCTGCGTTCCCTTTGCTTCAGGGACAGAGGGAACCAGCGTGGAATTGCACTGCCTGAGCCAAAGGGGTCCACAGGATCTTGAGACTTGATTTTTGAGCAGTACCAATCCTTTCCACTCTTTCCTTTTCCTTTCTGTCTTCTATCTTCCTTTCCTTTTCTATTTTCTTTCCTTTCTCTTTTCCTTTCCTTTCTCTTTTCCTTTCTCTTTTCTTTTCCTTTTCTTTTTCCTTTCCATCTTTTCCATTTCCTTTCTCTTTTCCTTTCCTTTTCCTTTCCTTTTCCATTTCCTTTCCTTTCTCTTTTCCTTTCCTTTCTTCTTTCCCATTTCCTTTCCTTTTTCCTTTCTCTTTTCTTTTCCTTTCTCTTTTCCTTTCCTTCTTTTCCATTCCCTTTCCTTTCTCCTTTCTTTTCCTTTTTCCTTTCCTTTCTCTTTTCCTTTCCTTTCTCTTTTCTTTTTCTTATTTCCTTTTCCCTTTTTTGCTTTCCCTTCCCTTCCCCTCTCTTCTTCATCCTTTCCTTTCTTCTTTCCAATTTCTTTTCCTTTTTCCTTTCCTTCTTTTCCATTTCCTTTCCTTTTTCTTTTCCTTTCTTCTTTCCCACTTCCTTTCCTTTTTCCTTTCTTTCTTTTCCATTTCCTTTCCTTTTTCCTTTCCTTTTCTTCTTTCCCATTTCCTTTCCTTTCCCTCCCCCTCCCTTCCTTCCTGGGGGTCTGAGGGAGAGGGAGGGGACCCTTTTCCTCCTTGCCCCACTCCCCACATCTGCTCTGATGGCAATTATGGCTAAAAAAAATATCAAGTGCTCAGGCATGAAAATGCGCCGCTCAAACACTATACTTTTCCACACACACTGAAAAAAAATTAAAGGGAACATTGGTTGTCATAGTTCCAAACTAAGCCAGCAAAACAAGGTGCGCTGTCTCTGATGCTGACATTAGTATTAATTTGTAGTTAGTAAATGAGTTTAAACATGCTTGAGATAAACAAAATCATCATCCAGAAAAAAATTAAAATAAAAAAAATAAAAACATTAAAAATCTTCAGATTTATTTTGAAAGCTTCAAGGTTTTTTTTGGGGGGGGGGTTTTAAAGGATTAACCAATGATATCACTGTTGCCCAGGGGACACCCAGATGGGGGCTCCATTCATGTCCCCGTTAATGAGGCCTCAGAATTGGTACTTATTTATTTATTCAGTATTTACACATTTTTGAACTGCTAGGTTTGCAGGAGCTAGAACAAATGATGGGAGCTCATCCCACTACACAGCAGCATTTGGGTTTTGAATGCAGGCTTGCAGATTGTCAACTAGCATTCTAACTGCATAAGCCATTTATTTAATAACTAAATAAATTAAAAAGAAAAAAAAACAAAGGGCAGACTTGATGGGTCACTAGGTCTTTTTTGTCATCAGTTTTCTATATATATATATATATATATATATATATATATATATATATTGGCAACAAAAGGCAACAGTTAAATTTTCGGTTTCTGTCTGGATGGTCTCTTGTGACGAGCTGATGGACAGAGAATGGAAGTAGTGAACTTCCTCCCATATTTGGGCATACCAGGGGTTGTGACTTTAAATATATACCTTTCTCCCTGGCTCAGCTGATAAGGAGAAGAACCTTGTGGCTTAATGGTTAACACATCTGCCTAAGATGCAATACAGCACAGGTTCTAATCCCAGTAAGAGTATGGCTAGCTGATGAGAGCTAAATATCTTGAAATAGATCTATACTAGTCTCCCTTTATTTATAAATACAATGTATGTATGTATGTATGTATGTATGTATGTATGTATGTATGTATGTAATTGTTGGACTGTGTTTAAGTCAGACAAGCTCAGTATTGAGCTAATGCAAAGATCACTAAATATTTTAATGCATAGTGAACATTCAGAATTTGAAGAACATTATGGCAACTCGCAAACAGGCAAATAGGAAAATTCCACAGCTTGGGCTGACAGTAATTCCCAATCATTTTATTATTTCAAACTAACAGAAAGTTGGACATATTGTAAAAATAAATATTTTATGTAAAAAAGAAAAAGCTCCTTTGGGAAAAATGTGGTCATTTTCATGTTAGGAACCCATAGGATTTGTCTGTCAAGTTTAAAATGATAGCGTTTTACAGCCTGTAGGCCACCTCTCGCCTCAGAGCAGTCCCATTCTGGCCTGCAGCTTTGGTGGCTGGGTGCAGGGCATCAGGGTGAGGCAGAAGCAAAGGAGTGGGTAGTATGGTGCTGGTGGGTGGCAAAATATCACTGCAGCATCAGTGGCATCGGTGGGGTAGTTGCAGGAGCAGAATGGCATGGGACTGTTACAGCATCCCAGTTTCTAATTTCCACTTTGAAAATTAATTGACCATCCCTGATCTAAAGTTTATAATATTGATGTTATCCATTCAATTAAGTTTGAGTCTTGATTTTGTGGGCCAGGTCTCTCCACTTCTGATCTTGCACGGGTCTTTCAGTTTTTCTCTGCTATGGGTGATGACAGCTTTGGTGATGGCCAACCATTGTGTTCTTTGACAGCCTGTTTTCCTTTTAAGAAATTATTGTTAGAAAGCTGGAAGGGAAAGATAATAACATAAAATATGCACTATTAATATCCCCATATATATTTCAAAGATTTTGAATTCCTTGTATTCAGTAAAATTTCTAAGCTTTGGAGTTATGCCTAAAAGTTTATATTAAGATAAGCTAAGAACTGAGTAAGTGGCTATATCAGGAAAGAAGTAAAAGAGCAAAAATAGGTAAATTTAAATGCTGCCTGGCTCCCAGCAATTCTGGGTGGTACTACCAAGCCATTTATAAAACCTGACAAATGTTTTGTATTAGTACTTTTTTTTCCTGGCAATCTCAGTGTCATAATAATGAAACTTTTGTTTTATTTTTGTAATATTATGTGGTATGTTGTGAAAAAGTATGCCATTTAAAAGTTGGGAGCATATGTGTCATAAAATGTTAACATAACCTTTTCTTGATAATAATATTTTTATTGTTTTGTCATTAACAGTATATGGAAACAGTAACAAATGATTATCTTGCCTATGGAGAGGAGCAACATAACATAGATAAATTAGTCAACATGATATGTAAGTTTTAAGTAATTAGCTCCCAATAAAATGAAGTAGCAAAGTTATAAAATAGGAAGATTGAAGATTGATTGAAATATTTAGTATTTCTAAGATTTCTAATATTGAAATTGCTCTAACACAGCAAGTAACACTAAATAAACAAATGAGACTTGTAAGCCTTCAAGAAATGCCAAAGTTAAACCCTGTTAAATTTGACCCAATAAAACCATAGATTTTTACTTAGTCAGGAATAATGAGGTTACACTAATTTAAATGGCTTTTTCGGAACATGGCTGAACATATTTCACATTTTGATTTAATTTTTTTTTTTGAAGGATAGCCACATGGGACAGGCAAAAACGGCCCGCAGCTATGTGATTAAATTTCTATCCATTTTTTAAAAATGCACTAATCTGTTTTAAAATTGGCAAGTCCTTGATGATCAACTTGATTTTTTAAATATCCCCAGCCCTGTATACATCTCATTTTGAATCTTAAGTCTGACATTGAATCTTCAAAATCATGTCTCAGAATCTATTAAGTTCTGAAACAGATTGCTATTTTGTAAATATACCATGGATTTTTCTCCTCAAATTATTAAGAATAAGAATTTTATATGAGATACTTTATTCAGTTTCATTTTATTCAGTTTCTTTAATTCACAGATATTATTCAAAAACTTTCAGCGGTTAAAGATCAAAGAGAATGGGTTACAGCCAGTGGAGTGCATAAGGTAAATGGATTAATGAAATGAAACTAATCAGTTTCTTGGAAACTTATTCTTTTCTTTTTAGGTTTCAATTAATAATAAGATCTTTCAAATGAAAATTACTGCAAGATCCAATCTGGGTCAGTCACCAGAGGTTTACTTTTCTGAGCTTTCAGGCTCATACTGGAGCCCATCGTCTATTTTGTCACCATTGTTCTCATGTGGCACACTGTATGGCAGAGTGAGAATCCACTGCAGTATCCAGTAAGCTAAACAACTGGACGGAAGTTACCTATGTGAACAAATCAGGCAGAATGGATAACCACAAACATTTATTACAAGAAACCCATCCTCACACAAAGGAGAGAAAGGAAGAAAGATGGTGCAATATTAACTATACACATATCAAAAACATTTCAGAAGCAGTAGAACACAGCTTCCGAGATCTGCAAGTGGGCATTGAACACTGCCCAGTGATTATGATATGACGAAAAATGCATGGCAAAGATTGCTTGGAGATGGGAGATACTTCTAATGTAATCTGCTGGAACATCATGTGCACTAATTATCCCTGTGAATATGTAGGACAGATCGGGAGGAAGCTAACTACCAGATTGTAAGAATGCAAGTGAGCAGTCAGATGAGAAGAGCAGAATTTGTTAGTAGCTTTACATTGCAATGCAAGGACAAACATTCAATTTTGAAGCTACTAAGATTATTTGTCCTGCAGATACAAAGATAGCCAGGAAAATGATTGAAACCTGGGAAATTAGCCCCTTATAAGTCAATAGGAATGCTGATTTATCACCAGCTTATCAGGTGCTTAGGAATCGAGGACCTGGCAGCACATGGAAACAATAGCCAATTGCTGGCCTTCAACACATTAATCAACCATTAAGAAGGATTTACATAAATATAATTCATAGAATAGCTCAAAGAACATATTCTAGTAGAGAGAAGTTCCCTGAGTATGGACTTCACCAGTAACGTGCAGCCAGGGGAGGCAGGGCCTCACCACTGTCATCATGAAAAGAAAAAAAAATGTGAAAGGAATAAGGCTGATGTAGTTGTTGCCAGAGTCACAGTGGATGACTCTGCTTAGTGCTTAACTGATTAAAAAAGCCTCTAAAAAAGTGCCCTCTACAGGAGGAGGCGGGAGAACCACGTGCTTAATTTAGTCTATCTTTATGATCACTTGAGCAGAGTTAAGCAAGTGTTAAAAGCCAAAAAATTCCTTATGTAGGTGAGGCACTTGGTTCTCTTGCCTCCTCCCGTAGAGGGTGTTTTTTTTAGAGGCTTTTTTAAACAGTTAAGCAGAGTCATCCATTGGGAAGTCTGGCAGCAGCTAACCCAGCCTGACCTCAGCAGCTCTTGCCTTTTTCCTTTTACATTTTTACATTTTCATCATGGCAGACAAGAGCAAAGTTGAAATCCTCTGTGGGTCAGAGGGAGGGAGGAATTCAAAATTAATGTAATTTGTAAGTAATTGTATTATTGTAAGTAATTTGTGTGTGTGTGTGTTTTACCCGCCTCTGCTGGTGTGTGGGCTGGCAGTATTTTTATGTCAGATATAGCGGCAGGACTTTTGGACATAGTGGCAGGGCTTTTGGACATAGCGGCAGGGCTTTTGGACATAGCGGGACGCCTCTATGTTGGACATAGCAGCAGGACAGCTTTTACCTTAAGTGCCAGGGCGGCAGAGCGACTTTTGCCCGATTTCAAGAAAGCTTTCTTGAAAGCGGGCAAAAGCCGCCCTGGTGCTAGAGGCAAAAGCCGCCCTGCCGCTATGTCCGACATAGAGGCATTCTGCCTCTATGGCGGATACAGCGCTGGGGCGTCCGAAAGCCCTGCCACTGTGTCCGACATAGAGGCATCCCGCCTCTGGTGTCCGAAGGCCCTGTCGCTGTGTCCAACATAGGGCGGCTTTTGCCCGCTTGCTTCACCAGCCATAAACCTCACAGCACGTCACTGGACTTCACCATGAGCCCGAAAGCTCAGAAGAGTAAATCTCTGTTCCTGGTGACCGACTGGATCTTGCAACATTATCTGGGATACATGTATTTACTTACCTTCATTTGTGAATAGTACTGTACTATTAAGATTAGGAAAAATTACTGATGTTATTGATCTATTTATAATGAAAATTAACAATAAATCATTGAAGCATATTAAAAATTATCAAAAATCAGATCTGAAAGAAGCACACATGAAACTCATATGATTTTGATAATACTGCTGCAAGGAAACTTGTTTCAAAAATTAGCCATTCCAGAGAATGGGCCTAATTGTAATAATGTAAAGGAGTACAGTGGTGTATTTGAAAAAGGAATTCAGTGACTTATGTAAACATCAGCCTAGCCCAGATACCTAGAATGAACTAAAGAAAAAGAAATGTTTCATCTCGATTGTCTTTAATATAAGAGGAGAAGGAAGAGTATCTCTGTCAGACTTTGATATAGAGCAGTGTTGGTGAACCTTTTCGGCACTGAGTGGTGAAACGGGATCGTGTGCTCATGCCAGAAACTGGAAGAGCAGTCTCCCAGTGTGTATGTACACTCCAGGAAGATAATCTTCCAGTTTCCAGTGCATGCATGCATACCAGCCCTTCTGGTTTCTGGTGCATATGTGCATGTGAAGACCAGCTGGCCGGTGTGCATGCCAGAAATCAGAAGAGCAGCTGCCCAGTGCACATGCGCACGCCAGGAAGATGATCTTCTGGTTTCTGGCACGCCCATGCGAACCGGCCACTTGGTCTTCTGGTTTCTGGCATGCATGAGTGTGCGGAAACCAGCTGGCCAGCACATTGGAACCCGGAAGAGCAATGGCCAATGTCTCGTGGACCCAGAAAGATGGCTCTGCATCCATTTTCGGCACGCATGCCATAAGTTCGCCATAACTGACATAGGATATAATAACAGCACCTTCTATTGTTTACCTAAAGATGAAGCAATGTTTAAATGTTCATTTAAACATTTTAAATGAAATTTACTGTCTTTTCACTTTCAGTCTATTTAAAGTTCTTTAGACAGTTATGGAGCACTGACCTATTCCCATTATGTGCTAAGGTATCTCTAGGGGAAGCATTTATGTTGTATCTGTTTCTTTGGGTATCAACATTTTATTTTATTTTATCATAATATAAAATACAAAAGAAAATAAAAATAATGGGAAGTTAGGGGAGGGGGAAAAAAGAGAAAGGGAAAAAGAAAAAAAAGAAAAAAAAGTGTTGATTTCCACCTCTTTTAGTACATTACAACTTCAACTTTTTACTTTTACATAGTAATAGATACTAGCCATTTCTATAACAAAAATCTATCTAATACTCAAAACCAAAAACAAAGTTTCATTTTTCCATCAAAAGCAGAAAATCCAGATTGTATCTGGTTTCTGATTTGGTCCATCTTGGACTACTGGCATCACTGATATGGAATTACTACAAGCCAGATTTATATTACGTTCAGTCAGAGCCCTTAAACAACATCACAAAACTGCTTTTTCCCTGCCATTCTAAATTTTGCTGTGGGAATTGCTTGGAAGTTAGTATACATATTTTAATTTCTTTGATGTTTCATTATTACAAGTTGCCACAAATCTTAGGATAATTGGATAAACAAACAAACAAACAAACATATATGTTACAGAAGAACAAGAGCTGAGTATTTTGAAATTACACTTCCAATTACATGCATTATATCAGGCATAGACTTTTCACTTTTGGCTTTACACCTTCTAATGAATGATTTAAAAAAGGAAATTGTGCCTGTGGAAGCCAGATTTCCAACTTTCCTTGCAACTTAAAAAGACTGTAGGAAGAGATTAGGGAACAGTCTGAAGGAATTGCTTCCACAGGAAATCTATAATACCAGTTAGAGCCACAAGATTTCCAGTGTGATTTCCATGTTATTCTCCAGTGCACTGCTTGGAGAGTCCAATGCTGGTTTAACACAGCCTATCTGCCCTTGGACTGAGTGATGTTTTTTAGTTGACCACGCCTCCCTTTGCCTCTGCATGCTCAGTTCGAAAACTCAGTCCGCCCGTTAGGACTGTTTTGGGAGAGCTCCAGTCTCAGGGTACATCAAGGTGCCTTATGTGGCCTGCATGCAGTGCCTTCAGATGGGATATTTGGGGAAATACCCCTTTCAGAGCACAGCATTTGAAACAATCTTTGGGCTATTTCAGCTTTACTGAGATAACAAGCAGAGGTATATGGACATATGTTTGGGAAACAGTAGCCATCCTCCCACCAAAGCCATGCACTTCTTAGTTTTTTAAAATCTCAGCATGTAATAGGAAGCAGATCTGATACAGTTTTATTTAAGAATGAACCAAGCCGGATGATGGCATATAGTTCTTGGTTTTATACACCATTTGATTTTTATTTACGTGTGGGAAATGTATTCTTTCTTCCTTTTAATATGACTCAAAACAGTACAGAGGTATGGGTTTACTTCTTGAAGATTGTTTTAGAACTTTTTCAGTTTCTAATGTTACTGTATAAGAAATATGTAAAACTTACTTTTTAAACACAATGTTCATTATAGCATCTAGATCTAGAAGAATATTTTCATTTTTTTTTCCTTCTTGCTTTTACAGACTTTGATTAATTTACTAGGATCTAGAGAAAATAATGTACTAGTAGGTTCACTGCTTGCTCTCACAAGCTTGGCAGAAAGGTAAGCTTCAGTTTCTTGGCTATTTTATTCCTTTTATTTATCATGACATCTTCCTCTTAATAATTATGACAAATAAATTTAAAACCAAACAATTTTTTGGTTTTTATTTCTGATATTCTAATGGAGACATGTTTTTCCTCTAGGGACTGTGTCAGGTGCCATGTTGTACTTCCAGACACTAACTTGCCTGAATATGTAAATATTTGCAGACAAATGCACACAATACACCAGTTTGCATGTATATGTATACATATACTACATGGCCAGATTTTTTGTAGAAATGACTGTGAGTGCATTTCACATATGTAGTTAAGTGAATTAATACTTAAATAAATAAATTATGTTGATAGTTGATTGCAACATCAAATGAAAATTTTCAGATATGAAACTGTAGTATATGAACACTTTTCATATGTCAAATATTCTTTCTAATGAACAACATTTTCTGAATCTGCTTTTGGTTCAGATTTATATTTATTATTTTTGTCAATTAAATATTGTAGTAAAATAACGAAGAGGGTAAAGAATGAAATTGAGATGAATAAATATAGTCTTATTTAAAAATTGAATGTCTAGTGTGAATAAAGTATGTTGAGATAGTTTGGTTGTATACAGGTAACCCAAGTTTTACAAACAGCCACTTAGCGACTAGCCAAAGTTATGACACACCCAGAGATGGTATTCAGCAAGTTCTGATCAGTTCTGGAGAATTGGTAGTGCAAATTTTGAGTAGACAGATCCCTCAAAAGCTATTTTCAGGGTTCTGTCAGCTGCATTTATCCCCCCCCCCCATAGTCACATGACTGCATTTTGGGTGCCTGGCAACTGATTTCCTTTTCTGTGATTGTGATTTTTGCTGATTTTTGGCCTTTCTGGATAGTTTTAGCAAAAAAAATGGCCACAGGAATACATGGATTTGCTTAACTATTGCAGCGTTCATTTAACAATGCGTTCACTTAATAACTATGTTATTTGCTTAATCACCTCTGTAAATAAAGTAATGAAATTGGGTCAGTTACGTGGGTGTCTTGACTTATGATCATGACTAATGATAGAAATTCTGGTGTCCATTAAAGTCTTAAGTCAAGGATTACCTGTAGGGACAATGAAATGAGGACTGATTGCAAAATGAATAAATGATAGAAAAATGAATAGGTCAAAAGAAACAGGAAAAAGTTGTAGTAAAAGTTATAGTTTCTTCCTGAGAGAAGAAAGAGATGAGAATTTTAAAGAATGAAAGATAATATATGAAGTAGTGGGAAAATGTGGTAGAATCACAGATGACTTGAAGAGTAGAAAGTGTGGAAAGATATAGAGATGGTTTGATGTATATGCTATAAAATATTACTAGTGTAGCTATGTTCACTTCGCCTTTTAATCTCTTTGGATTTCTATTTTCGATTTTTGAATCCGATATTTGAAACAAATTATTAAGATGCATGATTGAACACAGGGGAATTTGTTTGTTTGTTTACTTATTTACTTAATTACATATTTGTATTGCTCTAACTACAATGTTTAAGTAAGATACAGATATCTTCAACTTATGAGACTATTTGGGACTGGAATTTCAATTGCAAGTTGTGACAGTTATAAGTCAAGGCACAATTTAATTGGAAACAAATTAATGACTGTTTTTTTATGGCAGCCGTTAAGTAAATCATGAAGCAGTCTGAATTCTGTGGTTGCTAAGCAAATTACATTATTGTAAGCCTCATCCACTCTCCCAAATGCAATTTTTTTTTCAGAAGAGCAGCAAAAACACTGAAAACTGATTAAAGCTACTACAAACCAGCATAAGAACATTGCAAATCATGGTCATTTGACCACAACCAGTTGTATATGTGAACTAGTTACCAAGCATTCAAAATATAATCATGTGACTACAGGCACATTATCATTATGACTCAGAGTTGGTAAAAATTGAAAAGTTAAAAAATAAAGTATTTTATATAATAAAAGAAAAAAAATGAAAGACAGAGACAGACTATAACTATTTCATAGCTTCTCAGACTAGCCTCCAGATGAACTAGAATAATGTTCTATCACTAGTGTTAAAGTAAAATTGAAGTGCCAGTCAAGCCAATTTATGGATTAGCTATCTTGTCTTTCAGCTAGGTTGTCATAATGTTACAGCCAGTGATCCATACTTAAAGGCAACAGATGTGGGCATGTGTTTGTATGTATTGTAATATATTTGCTTTTAAAAGGGAGAGCCTATCATTACCAAGCATGCTTTACCAACTCTCTTGTATTTTTTGATTATTGTAGTAGTGTCAGAGACATAATGCAATCTGCTTTCTGAAACATTCAAATTATGGGCTCTACCCATTACCAGGAGTCCCAATTTTAATCATACCAGAGATTCAGTGTGGAGAAGTTGCTCCAGAATTAGATGGCATATCGTTTTCCAAATTTCATTTATGCCAACCCATGAAATAGTGTGAAAATTGCTGAAGTTGGGGTTCAGGGGCTCCAAGATTTCATTTCTCTAAAGTAAAGCAAATAATATATTATTGACTCTGAAACTTCAGAAATCATACACTCAGTAATTTACTTAGGATAATATTCAAATTCAGTTCAGTTTCAAAAATAATCTCCCTAATGTTTTTATTGTAGCCCTGAATGTCGTGAGAAAATAAGTGAGCTGAATGTTGTCGAAAATTTATTGATGATATTACACGAATACGATTTGCTCTCTAAAAGGTAGGATATGTCATTTTCACATGTCAATTTACTTTTGTGTTAATGATTTTCAGATATTTAGCTAATATACATTCAAATTACTCTATCTCTGAAGTTGTTCACTTAAAACTTTTGAAGTATAATATGAGGGAATCCCCAAATCTGACAGTGACATATAGTATACCTTACTTAGTGGAAGTATTTAGTGGAAGTATTAACCATGAAAGTGATTGAGTTAAACTGATAATGCAAAGATCTGGTTTCAAATATGCCACTAGCCCTAGCAACTTGCTAAGTGATTTGAACTAGTTCCTCTTTTTAACCACCAAAATTTCACAGGATAGTTATGAGAAAAAAATTGAAGGAAGGAATATTAAATGCAGTGGTGTAAGCTGCTAACTGAATGTTAGAATCTCAATGTAGTAAATAAAATATTTTTATTTCTATGGTCCATTCCAGCCCCCTAGATGGCAGATCTTGAATGGCCCTGCATTGTTGGTGCTGCCGAACACCAAGTTGGTTTACAATAAGGCCACCCTCATTCACAACTTGATTGTTGATGAAAAACCAACTTGGTATTCATTGAGACCTGGCTAGGATAAGACAGGCAGATTCCAGTTTCTGAGTATCTAGCTGTATTCCAGGTGTGATACTAGCCAAAACCTCAGGGTAGAAGCAATGGAGTGACAGTGGTCATCCCAGATACTTGGAGAACTTCCTTTCAGATTGTTGTGTGAGAAACCCTTTTTGTTAAGTTGGATGCTAATGGCATCAGTTGGTACTGCTGTTGTTGTACTAGCCTCCATATTGTGTAGCAACTCCCTGCCTGAGATTCTGGACTGGCTGGTTGGCCGTGCAGTTCCTCAGGTTTATGGTCTTGTATCGACTTCATTTGACTTCTCTGGGCATGGGGTCTGAGATAGCTGAGAAGTTTATAGCTACCATAATAACCACATGACTATTCCAAGCCACCCAGGACCCAATATTATAGTGGTCATTCACCTTGTGTTGTTTTTATGTCAGAGCAGCAGCAGGATGCTCTGGATTTGGGGAAAATGTTGTTTTCTCTCCTGTTATTTCCTATCATTCTTTGGAGCAACCCTCTTCTACAGAGAGACTGGGCCTATTAGATTGGTCCACCCCAGAGGATAAATCAACTTGATTATCAGACAGAGCTTGGGGTTAATCTAGAACGTCTGCTATATAATCCGGTTAATGTCTTCATAGCTGCTTGGAATGGGAAAGTAGTTCTGGCTTTGAACTAAATTGTATTTAAGCAATTTCTCTGTACTATATTAATTTATTTGATTCTTTTTGTTAGTTTTTATTGTTTTAAATGTGGTTTTTATTCTGTAAGCCGCCTTGAGTCACTATGGGTGAATAGGTGGCAATATTAATCAATCAATCAATCAAACAAACAAAAAACATTTTTTTAAAATTATTTCCCCATTTGTTATAGAATCTGCATATAACTACCCAGAAGTCTTATTTCAGGTGACCCTGTCCCTCCTTTGAAGGCGTAATACTGGAATCCACCTATAGGGTTGCTGTGAGGAATGTCCTGCATATCTCATAGTCTTTCTACTTTGGATTCCAGCCTTTGGGCAGAATCAGTGGAAGTTATAGAAGCTGAATTGTGCAGTTATTTGGGGGAACTTTGATTCTGTTGAAGATTCAAAAGGATTGTTTGGCCTCTTCTGTATTAATTCTGCACCCCTTGTGGTTGGTCAAGGCTACCGGGGAGAGGATGCATGATTGGGTCTGTGTGGTGGTTAATTATTTTTTGAGGGAGGAGGTGATGAGATGCCCCCTTCTCAAGATGCCATCACTAAACCCAACTAATTTGAATAGTTTCATTTAGTCTCCAACTTCTCCTTTTTTTATTGAAACTTTTAAAAAGCTTTTACAAATATTTACCTCCCTCCCCCACCCGAGCCCATCTCCCCCCCAACCCCCCACCCGACTTCCCAGAGCAAATAAAGGATATAAATCTTTAACAATCATATTCTAAAATAAAATAAAAAAAACTTGGCTTCATCTTTCATTTGTGCTTTAACTCCTCTTTTGTTAAGCTAACTATAAACAAATTAAATCATTCCTTGCTTTTTCATTCATAAACTATCTGGAATTTTTTAGTCCCATATTTATTTTGAATATAGTCAATCCATCTTCTCCATTCCAGTTTATATTTCTCATCTGATATCTCTATCAGATATGCTGATATTTTAGCCATCTCTGCTAAGTTTGTTACTTTTAATTGAATAGTAGGCAAATCTTCCTTCTTCCAGTATTGCGCCACCAACAGTCTTGCTGCCATTGTTAGGTTCAAAATCAGATTAGTCTCTGTAACAGTACAATCAGTAGTTATACCTAACAAGAATAACTGAGGGGTAAACTTCATCCTCTTTTTTAAAATATTTTGCATAATTCACATATTTTTATCTAAAATGCTTTAACCTTTTTGCAAGTCCACCATATATGGTAATATGTAGCATCAATACAATCACATCTCCAGCATTTAGGTTGTAAATTCGGATACATGCAAGCCAATTTTTTAGGATCTAAGTGCCATTTATAAAACATCTTATAAAAGTTCTCTCTCAGGTTTTGGGCTTGTGTGAATTTTACATTTCTTACCCATATCTTTTCCCAAGTGTCCAACATTATTGGTTCTTCAAAATTTTGTGCTCACTTTATCATAGTCTTTAACTAATTCTGTTTCAGAATCCATTTCTATTAGAACATTATATAACCTTTTTATGTGCATTTGACTTTGATCCCTGATTTTTTTTAGTAGATTGTCCTCATTTTGCATGATACCAATTTTCTGATCTTTTTTCCATCTGGCCTGCAATTGTCCATACTGAAACCATGTTTGGATTACCTTCTCCTCTTTTAATACATTCAAGGGTTGTAACTGAAATACACCTCTTTCTATAGTAAGAAGCTGTCTATATGTAGTTACATGTTTTTGTGCTATACTTACTTTCTCCAGTGCGCCGCTTGGAGTCCAAGCGTGGGTTAACACAGTCTATCTGCCCTTGGACTGAGTAATGATTTTCTTGACCACGCCTCCCTTTGCCTCTCCATGTTCAGTTTAAAAACTAAGTCTGCCCATAGGGACTGTTTTGGGAGAGCTCCAGTCCAAGAGCAGATACACTGGGGTTTCCCAACCTTAAAACTGACCATCCATCTTCAACTCCATCCTAATACTGCTTCAAGGTTAAAGAGCTACAGCTGAAAGTTTATTTCGCTAAGAGGGGGCGGGCCTTTACAGCTGGCAGGTGGGGAGTTGTAAACGGGTCGTTTCCTTGAAGGGTATGCCTGTTTGCTGGAGAGCTAGCCTCGAGGGTGCTCCTCACGTTCCTGTTCTGTGGGGATGGGCTCTATGGCTTCTATCTGGAGAAATGGAGGATCTCCTCCCGCATGAGCTCCCGTTTTAGCGGATTATTGGGGGTGGGGCAGCGGATGAACTTCCTTTGAGGGAAGGATAGAAAGTCCAGAACTAGATCCTTCCTGATGGTGGATAGGACCCAGCTGTCTGAGGTGATCTCCTCCCACCTGTCGACGTATATTTGTAGCCGACTCCCTATGGGAGAAATCCCTTGGCAATCATTTCCCCCTGCGGAACTGATGGGGGACCAGGATCTACGATGCGACCTGGGCCACCTTCTCCTCTTGGTGTAAAGATAGAGGCATTGTTGATTTCTCTGCCTCAGTCCCTCAGACTTTGGACTTCTTACAGAAGGGACTGGACAAAGGTCTAGCACCTAGCATGCTTAGGCGTCAGGTTGCCGCCTTATCCACCATTCTGGCCAGGCGAAGCCTCCTTTGGAAGGATTTTGCAAAGAGTCGTTGAGACTCTGGAGGCCCCGGTCCTTTCCCACCCTGGGACTCAATAGCTTGGGCATGTCCCATGCTTGGACTCTCCAAGTGGCGTACTGGAGAAAGATCGTTGGCTTACCTGAACGGTCGTTCTCAGGGCGCCGCGAGGAAAGTCCAAACCCACCCAGGGGGATTTTTTCGAATGTGACTGTATTATTGACTGTGAACTCTTGCCTTACTTTTGTCCTTTCGTTTTTAAACTGAACATGGAGAGGCAAAGGGAGGCGTGGTCAAGAAAATCATTACTCAGTCCAAGGGCAGATAGACTGTGTTAACCCACGCTTGGACTCTCCTCGCAGCGCCCTGAGAACGACCATTCAGGTAAGCCAACGGTCTTTCTCTATTGCATGTCTGGGAATTGCCCAGATAGGTATCTTATCATTTAATTTATATTAATATTTTTTCCAGACACGCAATAAAGCATTCCTCAATATATGACTTTTGAATGTCTTATCCATCTTCTTGTCATATATCAAATAGGTATGCCAGCCGTATATCAAGTCATGGCCCTCGATATTCAATAACCTATCCTCTGTTGAATTAATCCAGTCACTAATTATTGATAAAACTACTGCTTCATAGTATAGTTTTAAATTTGGCATTTTCAGGCCTCCTCTCTCACGTACGTCTTGCATTATTTTAAGTTTTATTCTCATTTTTTTCCCTGCTCAAACAAATTTGTTAATATCCTTCTGCCATTCAAGCAAATTTGCGTCTTTTTTAAGTATTGGTATCATTTGAAAAAGAAATAGAAACTTAGGCAAGACATTCATTTTTACTGCTGCTATTCTTTCCAACAAAGATAATTGTAATTTTTCCCAATTTTTCATCTCTACCTGTATTTTATACCATAATGGCTCATAATTATACTTACATAGTTTCCCGTTTGAAGTTGAAATATAAACTCCTAGATATTTAACTTTTTTAACTATTTCACATCCTGTTATTTTTTCTAAGGCTTCCCTTTGATTAGTGTTCATATTTTTAACTAACATTGTTTAACTAACATTGTTTTCCCTAGATTTATTTTAAACCCAGATACTTGGCCATATTGATTAATCATATTCATTAAAACCTTGGTAGATTTCCCTTGGTTTGGTTAAAGTTATAACCAAGTCATCCGCAAATGCACATAATCTATATTCTTGGTGCCTAATCTTGATTCCCTGTAAATCATCTGACCCCTGTATTTTATTCAGCAATAATTCCATGGTTATAATAAACAATAATGGCGATAGGGGGCAACCCTGTCTTGTACCTTTCTCAATTTTAAAAGATTTTGTTAAACTTCCATTGACTATAATTTGTGCTGTTTGTTCCTGATAATATTGCGTTGATTGATTGTAGAAAATACTCTCCAATTTGCATCTTTTGCATTGTTTTCATTAAAAATTGCCAATTCACTCGATCAAGTGCTTTCTCGGTGTCTCCTTTTTTATGGGTGGTTATGGAGAGACTTGTAACATGGTATTTTCAAAGGACCCTGGATGAAACAGATTATTTGGATTCTTTCAGTCGTGCTTCAGGATATTTATGGGATTGAGACACTTTTTGTTGTGCTCCTGGATGATCTTTGATGGGAACAGGATGGGGATAATGCATCTGTCCTTTATTTTCATGACCTCTCAGTGCCTTTCAATATCATCAATCATGATACTTTGTGGACCAGCTTTGGGAGTTGAGGTGGGCAGTATTATGTTGTATGGTTCTTCTTCTTCCTCCAGAATTGCTTTTTATCAGATAAAGGGGCAGAGATCCAACCCATATCCCCTACTTCCTGTGGTGCCAAGAACTTATTCATCTCTTCTGTCTTATTTAATATCTATATGAGGCCACTGGATGAGGTGATCCAACAATTTGGAGTGGATCATCAATATGCAGATGATACCCAGCATTAGCTCTCCAAACTAAGCTGCTTAAGTGATGTACATGTCTCAAAAGGCAACTGGACTTTCTTGGGGCTTTTTTTCTTGAAAAAACACCTTTAGGATAATTGAGAATCTATCCTATCCTAGACATATGCTGTGTCCTATCAGGGACATTTGCTGTAGATATCCTGTCCCAGTGCCTACAGCTGTAGGGGCCTGAATGGGGCACAAGGACCTTTGACTCAATCTAAGCAGGTCTGAATGGCTATTTGGGACTTTTGGTGACAATGTTTTTCCAATTTTAGTTCTGAGTTAGGTGGACCCAGGGCTAAAATTGGATTCTGTTTCAATGTGGAATTCTCTTGGACTCATGGTTTTTGCTAGAAGAGCAGGCGGCAACCATGGCAAGAAAGGCCTATGTTCCCTTTTGGATTTGCATTAGTTGCTTTCATTCTTAGACTGGGAGGCTCTTATAGCTCTCAAGCCCCTCTGACTTCCTGTCTGGAATACTGCTATATCCTTTATATTGGACTGCCCTTGAAATGCTATCAAAGGCTTCTGGTGTTTATTTTTATGTTTCCCCAGCACACATTTGAATGCCTTTACTGTAAATAATTGAATGTTATAAATACATTTGAATATCTTTATCATAAATAAGAACCCTAAAACCATAAGAAGACTAGTCAATCTTAGAAATAATGGGAAATAATTATAATTAGATGAACCCAAAGATTAATCTACCATCAGCTTTAAAGGGATCCTTAGCTATGCCCAGGTCATCCCTTGCTAGGTGCTGCTTTCAGGCTTTCCTTTTTAATGTTAGAGATTCATGACATCAGAAAGATTAATCTCTCTTAGAAATAGAAAGACAGCCACTCCTGTCACTCTGATACAGTGTCTTCTGGATTATGTGTTCCGTGATAATTACAAGCATGTGCAGGAAATAGGAAGGAAATTACAAAAAACATGTTCTGTGTTTCTGCCTTTTTTGTACATGCATTGTGATACTGCACAGAGGTACAAAACAGGTACCATTTCATAATGACTTCCTGAGATTGCTATTATCAAATTAACAAGAGCTTCCATTCTTGTGACTGCTTCTGATTAAAAACAGCTTAGAGTTTTTTCAGTTGAGCATTATAACAAGCAGTTATTGAGTTGGTTGTTTGAAGCATAGGTTAATTTAAAGTATTTTTTAGATTGATTTCTTTAGAGGTAGTCCTCGATTTACATTTAGCAACCATTCTGAATTATAATGGCACTGAAAAAAGTGATTTATAACTTGTACTCACACTTTTTTTTTCTTTATTATATATTTTTTCTTTTCTTTTTATTTTACTTTTTTTGTTGTTGTTTTAAACTGTTTTATTTCATTTTCATTTTCATTTTATACAATCACTTATATACTGTGCATAACAAAAAAAAATCCACCATAAAAAACCAACATAACACTTCAATCCCCCATACACCCTTTCTTCTCCCCCTCCAACTTTCATTTCTCCCCTCCAACATTCCCCTCTTCTACTTCCCTTCCCCCTCAGACATCTCCCCTTCCCTCCCTCTCACCCTCCTTACATTCCTCTCTCACTCCCTCTTTACTTCTCCCTCTTCTTTCCCTCTACTCCTCACTTTGGTGTATCTCTACAATTCATTAATCTATTCAGTTTATATTTTACTCTAAAATTAAGAAAAATAATAATAATAAAAAAGAGAAAATAAAAGAGAAAAAGAAAAAAAAGAAAAGAGAGCAACAGTATACAAGTGCATTCTTATTGTTCTGAGAATTGAAACTGTATTTCCACCCTCCACCCTCCCCCCTATAATCCCCCCTCCCTAACCCCTTTACGACTTCCCAGGTCCCATACCCGGCATAATTCTTTAACAAGCACTGAAGTATAATAAAACCAACTAACTTTAAAGTTAAAAGATAAAAGATAAAAGAAAAACAAAAAAAAAGAGAAATAGTAAAAAATAAAAAAATAAAAAGAAAAACAAGACGCACACACAAAAAAAGAAAAACAAGAAAAATCAATAAGTTGATTGAGTCAATAAGATTGAGTGCGATCACACTTGATCGCACTCAATCACTGCAGTATCCCCATGATCACAAGAACAAAATTCAGGCGCTTGGTAATTGGCATGTATTTACAATGGTTGTTGCACGTGGGATAATGTGATCGTAACTTTCACAGCCAGCTTCTGAAAAGCAAACTCATGGGTAAAGCTGGATTTGCTTAACAACCATGTGATTCATTTAACACCTGTGGCAAAACAGTTGTAAAATCAGGCACAACTTGCTTAACAACCACTTTGTTTAACAACAGAAATTCTGGTCCCATTATAGAAAAAGACAGATGGAATCTCTTTCTCTCTCCTTCTCTCTCTCCTTCTCTCTCTCTCTCTCTCTCTCTGTCTCTCTGTCTCTCTCTCTCTCCTCTCTCTGTCTCTCTCTCCTCTCTCTGTCTCTGTCTCTGTCTCTCTCTCTCACACACACGTATACCTATCTATATCCATCCATCCATTCGATTATGAGCTATCTGATTCCTTAGCAACTCTGTGTGGTTTGCAAATTTTTTAAAAAAGTATATATGTAAAAAAGTGTAGGCAAACTGGAAAAACAAGATACATAGTTGTAAAACGAAATGTAGCTAAAGGGGAGTTCATAATGACCCTTCACAAGGCCTCTGAAAAAGTTTTACTAATTGCTAGTGGTTTCTGGATGCAATTCAAGGTGCTGGTTATTATTGTTAAATTCTTCATGATACAGAAGAGGGTTGTCAAACTCCTGGCCCATGGGCCAGATACGTCACATGACGCTTCTGTGATGATGTGAATTTGACACCCTTAATATAGAGCCTGGCTATTTGAGAGACCACTTATCTCTAGCTTTTTCTTCCCATCTGATACAAACAAGTAGGATAGGGATTCTCTTAGTTTCATCTATTAAATAGTATCATCTTATGGAACACAGAAACTAGTTTACCATGTTGCAATAACTGCTCTCTTCAACAATATCCTCCCAAGATATGTGTGACTTCCACTCTTAGGATGCTAAATAAAAATGCACCACTTTCTATGTTACATTGAAAAAGAAGGCCAAATTTGGGTATTTATATAATTTAGTAAGCATGCTAAATATAACTATTGAATTAAAGATGTTTACTCTTTTTTTGCAGATTGACAGCAGAATTACTCCGTCTCCTTTGTGTGGAATCACAAGTCAAGGAACAAATCAAGTTGTATGAGGGTGTGCCTATTCTGCTTAGTCTTCTCCATTCTGATCATCTAAAACTACTCTGGAGTGTAGTTTGGATTCTTGTACAGATTTGCGAAGATCCTGATACCAGTGTTGAAATTCGAATTTGGGGTGGAATCAAACAGCTCCTTCATATTTTACAAGGGTAGAGTTCTGAATTTATCTATAATAACAGCAGATAGAATGTGTATACTCACATACAAACTTCCAAACTACGTTTTTCTCTGCATTGAGCTTGATTTCATGTGAAAATCAATTCCTATTAACAATTTTTTGTCTTTGAATGATATTGTTTTATAGAAAGATTTTCTGAGACTTGTGTTTAAAAATGCAGGTATAACTTTCATGAAATATCGATATAACAATTCCTTTAGGAAGAAGAGATTAATGTATCAGAACTCCTTAAATAAATCTGTACAGAATGTTCATTACTTATACAAACCAACAGGAGGCAGTATCTGACCAATTTAATTCTATATTGGGACTTGCCATACATATGTAACTAAATCTTATTCTATAGGATTCAACTCCTCTATTCTTAAGAATTGTTGTTTTTAACTCAGGATGTCTGTTTCGAGAGGCTTACAGTCCCATGGATTCCATGGTTAGTCTTGCTTTGGAGAGGGATTTTTAGGATAATTTCCATGGTAGATTAAGCTACTTGCCTCATGTGCTGCTCCTGCCCGTTTCTGAAATTAACTTTAAAAATTCCAGTCCAGATTGTGGTGGGTTGGCAAGACATCCACATTGGTGCTCAGCCCATACGACAGCCACTCCAGGCTCTGATTGGTCATTCTTCTTTTTTTTGCCTTTCTAATTCATGCAGGGATGACAAACTTTGTTAGCTGCCCTCTCTGGCCTTAACACACCCTATAAGCTTTCATAGCTGACTAGGGACTTGAACCATGGGCTTGCCAGTATCAATTCAATACCTTAACCCATCACACTGACTCATAATATGCAAGAATGCATAAAACATATGCATTCTTGATTCTAATTGCTGATCATCTTAGAGATATATGCAAACTGTTTCTTGTACTTTTCTAGGGAACGAAGTCTGTTTTTGGATCGTTCTTCCATTGGGAGTTTATCTAGTGCAAACATAGCTGGAAGAATCCATCAGCTTCATTTATCAGAAGAGTTAAGCTCTCATGAAATACAAGAAAATACATTTTCTCTTCAAGCAGGTACAGTAATACTATGATGATTTATATCAATGAAGTTATTTGTGCCTGAACAATGCATTAAATGGTAATCAAAAACTGATGGATCAATTAAATAGTAAGTTCAGTAGGTTCTTTTATAAATATACATATGCTGACTGTCCTATAGAGCAAGCCACAGACATTTTATTTTCTTTCTTTTTTCAATCAAATTTTCATTTTTTTATATTCTTTAGATATATCAATGCGTGAATGGTGTGGTAACTGGATAACATACATTTCAGTACACATAAACAGTGTTATTATTCCTAAATATTACATTTAATTTTCATTGTTCCATATTATTTATACATGTCTTTTATTATCACCCTTTTTTTCTGAACCATCTTTCTGTCCTTTTGTATACCTTAACATCTTAATATATAATTATTATTTCCCTCCACTATTTCTATCCCTATTTTAACTATTTTTCCCCTTTCATATCACTATAATATTCAAAGATGTGTTTTCCATCTGTTTTGTTTTTCATATTTCCATAGTTAAATCAAAGTTCCATCCTTCATTCTTCCATTTTTCAACATCCTCTTATACAATTTTAGTATCAATCACGATCATTTATACATTTAGGGTATTTCTATTCATGTTCTTTCCAGTTCTTCAATCTACTATTAATAGAAAAGATTTAGATTAATATATATTTTTAGATATTTCCCTAATCACCCATTGTTCTAACCTTCCACTGTTATTCATATTTTATACATATTTAGTAATACAGTCATTGAAAGTCTATTTTCCCATTCTTCATATTTATTTATAGTACAATATTATCCTGATATCTATCACACTACTAAAATAGTAATCCAACCTGTATAATTCTAGTATTAATACATGTTATTGAAATATATTCATAAAAATATTCTTTTACTCTATTTTTCCTTATCCTTCATCTCTTACCCACTTCAGAACCTTATTTTCTTTTTAATTTTCCTCCCATATTTGTCCTTTGGGTCTCTTATTCCCTCTATTTGCCTATGCAATCTAATTTTTCCTCCCAACTCTACCCTTTCCCTTTGTCTAATTCCAGAACTATCCATTCCACCTCCTATCTCCCCCCCCCCAGTTCTCTTCCTGTTTTTCCCACTTCCTTTTTTAATTTTTTACATTATTTCCCTCCTTTTTTAGTTCCTTAATCACTATTCATTTTGGCAACCTTATTATCATCTTCTTGCTAATTTCTCTTCACTTCCCCTCTATTTCTTCTGATAGATCTATTCTTTCTTCCTTGTCCTAATCATTGTCCGTTATTCTTTGCATTAAATTTCCTAATTTTTGGTCTATATGATCAAATACTTTCTCAATGCTTTGAAAAAACTCCGTTCTGTTTAAGTTCTCCTTACTTCCATCTTATGTTGCGTCTGTGTTTAATCAATCTCTTTTTCAGTCCACTGTCCAGAGTTCATTAATTCAAAAAGCCAAAATTCCAAGTCACAATTTTAAATGTCTCATTAATATTCAGTCCAAATAGTTTGAATTCACCAGGAGTTATCCATGCCTCTTCAAATTACCTTATATGTTCAATAATAATCAATGATGTTCAGGGGCTCTTGAAGTCCTTAGTTAATAATCAGATCTCTAGTGGTCTTAGAATAGGTCTGTATTTAACAGATATTTCCAGGGGTTTTTTTGAATAGTGATTTCCAATAGTGATTTCATTGAATAGTGATTTGCATATTTTCCTTTTCGTCAGCAGATGGTGCTCTCGCTTATGTCTGCTCAAACCTCTCTGCAATAGTGTTAAGAGTTCCGATTTCAATTATTTTTTCAATTATTCAAATTATTCTTAAATTATAAATCCAATAATTGAGCAGTGTTTGTAAAGAGAAACTTGGGACTTTAATTCCAGTATTTTAAAATGTTCTCAATATCACATCTTTTAGCTTTGAGGAACCAAGTTTCTATTTATTATTTAAAAAGCAGATTTTTTTCCTTCTTCAATTCTCTGATATTTTTCCTGTGTGCTCATTCGCAACTTCAACAAATAGTTTTAAAGATGCTTTCCCCTTGGATTTTTTGGGGTCAGCTTCTAATAAAAAGTATTTTCTCACTCAGCTCACACTCCATTCATTTTTTCCTCTCCAGCACAGTCCTGGGTATTCAGGCTGGCTTAATGGCAGCCATTTTGGCTGCTGCTGCTCCTTGCTGTCAGATGAGGGGGTAATTTCCCAGTCAGGGAGGAGTGATGCTTCTCTCCTCGACCTGCCAGATGGTCCCATCTTACTTCATCGCCCCTTTAGTGGGGCTCCCCAACAGGAAGAGGTCGAAGTTGACTGCAGAACTTGCAGATCAGGCTTTCGAGGAGGCCAGAAGTACAACTGAAAGTCCACAGACATTTTCTTTTCCTCAATCTGTAGTTTCTCCAGATTACATAAAGTGTTAAATGTGAACGGATTAATGTATTAATTTAAAATGTTATTTTAAAACTCAAAAAACATACAATTGACAAATACCTTAATATATAGGAGCAGTATAAGATAATTTTTGGTGATTTATTTTAGCCTGTTGTGCTGCAATTACTGAATTGGTCCTTAATGACACCAATGCCCATCAAGTAGTACAGGTGAGAAGTCTTTAAATACCTTTTGAGATTAAACTTTTTGTTTATATTTATACAATGCATGTTTCTTGGAATAGAAATAGTATTGGTTAAAAATATGCTGCTGTCCACTCATGTAAGGACTGGAGGGCCTATATTTACCACTTTATCATTTTATAATTAAGTACTGTGTGTAATTTGAATTACTGAAGGCATGCTCTTGATATCTGCCTCAGCATGGCTGCCTCATGGCTAACTGTTATATAGAGAACAAGAATATATTTTAAAGAGTAAGTGGGTCAGCTAAAGCCTGTTTAACTTGCAGGTCATGGTGCAAAATGAAAAGTATCTGTCTTTGCTGATAATTTTGCAATAGACAATAAATTCCTCTTGTGAATCTGACAGATTATTAAGAATTCTTCTTTATTACTAAATGTTTGATTGTTCTCTGAAATTTTATTCCTCCATATATACTTTTTAGGAAAATGGGATATATACAATAGCAAAGCTGCTTTTACCTAATAAGCAAAGGAATATAGCAAAGGCTAATTTATTACAGGTAATCCTTTTTATTTATGAATTTTCATTGCAAATAGTTACAGTTTTGAAACACAAATAATATGGTTTATTATGATTTTTATTGCCTTTATTGTCTCCTTCCTTCCCTCCCTCTCTCCCTATGCTTCTAAGGCAGTTTGATAAATTTAATGTAATTAATTTAAAGTTAATAAGAATATATAAGACAGAAAAGCCAACAAATTGCTAATAGTTTCATAAACCATTCTGAACTACTAAATACTAAAACTGATATTCTTTTAGTATTACAATGTTTTATTCTAGTAATGTAAAAATTGCTCAGGCTTTTAGCTTGTTACTGGCATTGAATCTTTAGACGAGAGAAATCAAATGTGGCTTTCAATTTCGATACATTTTTCTCATTCTAGTGTTATGCATTCAGAGCTCTGAGATTTCTTTTCAGTATGGAAAGGAATCGACATCTTTTTAAAAGGTATGCTGAAGACAAGCTATATTCCCAGATTATTTTCCTTTGAATAAATGTGTGTATATAAGGTACTATGCCTTACATTTATTGTATGTGGGAATGTGTGCATGTCAAACTTTACCTGTCAAACTTTGCTTAAAACACTGATTTCCAATAAAAAACATGTTCCCAAAGTCTTTATAGTCTATAAAGGGAATAAAATTGCACAATATATTCACATTTTAATAACAGAATACTTTTGAAGGCACTGGAACTCCATGACATCTCTGTGCTATAATAAGTGGACCAGATGTAATTTCTGAACTATTCCTGATCAAACTACATATCTGTGATTATACTGTTATTGACTGGGGATGACATGTCACAACAAATGACTGTGCTTACACTGTTTTTGTGGGAATTGTTCAAAAACAGTAAGTATATGCATTTGAAATGTTTCTCCAATCTTAATTCAGAAAAAGAAATCTGTGCTCCATAATATGGCTTTAGGAAACACTAATAATCCAAAACTGTATTTATTTTACTTGTAATGTGGATGCATGATAGACTTTCTTCACAAGATCAGGGCTATACATAGGCTGGTAGTTTTCAAATATTTTATGTCCATTTGTTTTTTAATTTCATTAGATATTCATTCTGGGATGCAAGCATCTGAACAACTGCTAGATGGCAGCAGAGATTTAGTTTTATGTATCTTTTTGCTGTTATCCACATTTTTACTGCTTAGTTATTGTTGCCCTGAACAATTCATTTCAGACTCACCAAAAACCTTTTAGGGAATAAATGTGAAACATACAGAACAATTTTTTAAAAGAGATCTCAAAGAAGAGATAGTGGCAACTTTTTTTCCTTATCCAATATCATAGGAAATTTCCCAGCTTAAACATATGGAGGGATCAAGTGAAGGAATCGAGCTAACATACTTTAATCTTGCTTTATTTTGGATAGAACAAATCTACTGCAGAATTTCTTAAGGATTAAACAGGACTTACATGAGAGTAAAAGTTATTACATTTGATGAGATTTACTATAAAATATGAATGGATAAAATTGATTTTGTTGAGTTCAGCAAAATCATTGCTGTGTTTCCTTCCTTTTGCGCTGTCTGCTTCCTTGCTTTTGCCTCCATCAGGTTTTCTTCTACTCTTTCAAAATGCAGCTCATATCTTCTATCACATACAGTATCCCATAATTCCCCACTGTTTCTGAAGTGAGGCGTGGGAGGAGTCATACGTGGGTATTACCACAGCACTTTTGCCCTGGAGACTGAGGTAAATCTTGATGCTACACCTCCGTTCCTCCCTCTGACCTCCCAGATTAACCTCAGTCTCCAGCCCAGAAGGAGTGTTTTTACTGACTCTCCCACACTTTGAAGACTAAGGATTTTTTTATACAGGAATTTTTTTCTAGCCGTTTACCTAAAGAGTTTCCCTTTGGATTGCTGCTTCCCTCCTCGTTTGTGCTCCACGCTGCTAGCATTTAAGCCTCACCGCTTGCTAGCATGTGCCCCAGGCGGCCAGGCAGCCGGGTAAGAGGGGCAGCAGCCGCTCAACTGCACGGCTTACCGGAACAGCTGAAGGATCAACTTCGCAGCCTCGTGGATTAAAGATTCCAGCAGGATCGTCGACCAGTGTCCACAAGCCTCGGAGGAGCTCGGACTGCAGAGCGGTGACCGCCATCTTCATTTCTGCCATCTTGGAGCACGTGAGTGAGCGCATGGCCAGCTTACCTCCTACGGTCGCCGAGAGCGCTCAAAATACAACTGACAAAGCCAGAAGAGGCTTGAAAAGCGGCTTATCTCCGCCGACAATCTGGGGGGAGCCATAGACTCAGTGCTTGCCGGCATTCAGGCCATGGATCGACAGCAGAAGGAGCGCGGAGCTTGGAGAGCATTGCGCACAGTGAATCGAGCAGGCAGAAGAGTGAGGAGGGGCGATCGTCGGTATTGTGAGTAACATGGCGGAGGTGGCAAGGAGCAGGGGTGCTGGGTCTAGATTCCCAGGGGACTCAGACCCGGGCGAGGGGACCTCTAAGGAGGCTCCCCCGGTCACCAGAGGGAGGTCCCCTGCCAAGCGAAGCACCCCCAGGGCCCCTAGGAAGGAGATCCCCTCTAAAGGGGGTCGAGTGACCAGGGCTTCAGCTAGGAGGTTTAGAGCCACCATTAGCCCATCACTTTCTAGATCACGCTCCCCCCGCAGGCTCCCTGCACTGGTGGAAGCCCAGGTGGCACCCCCTGGCTCTGCAGAGAGCTCAGGTAGAGTATGCAGTTTCTCTATCGCCCCCCCCCCCCTTTCGCCTGCCCATCATCGGAGGCTAGGGGTGATCCCTTTGGGCGTAGGGCTCCCAGCAAGACACAGGCTGGCACCGCAATCCCCAGAGCCAAGGGAATTCTTGCAACCCTCTGCAACCTTTCCTCCCAGGACTGCCTGATAGCTTCCAGGAGGTCTTAGCCAGGGTCATAGCCCAGGGAATTGCTTCTGGGATGAAACCTCAATCCCAGGGCTCTAGACATAGATAATCCTGGGACCAGTCCAGGAGTCACCATGTTCACTCCAGGGCCCCTGCCCCCAGAGAGCCCAGGTCTCCATCTCTCTCCCCTGCCAGTGAAGCTGAGGAAATAAAGTGAAGCTTGAGGAAATAAAGTGAAGCTTGAGGAAATAAAGCTTGAGGAAATAAAGTGAAGCTTGAGGAAATAAAGGAGGTGGGGTTCTCTGAAGATGAAGATGCTCAAGTTTCTGAGGCTCCCAACATCACTGGCCTATTTCCCCTCTCCTTGTTCAGCTCCTTACTTCATAAGGCCAGGGCCACAGCTGACCTGGATACATCCCCAGATCTCAGTTCTGTGACTGCCATGCCAGGCACTAGTGGGGGTAACAAGAAGGGACCCTTCCATAGACCACCGGTGAAGAAGGAGGAAATCCCCACTCCAGAGATGTTTCTGGAAGTGCTTAAATCCCAGTGGGTTAAGCCAGGATCCTTTCCCAACCTGAGGGGCAATGAGTGGAGGTTTTATAATCTCAATTCTACCTTTGCCCAAGCTCTTCAGGTCCCCGAGGTGGACAACCCGGTCGCCACCCTTGCTTCAGCTTCAGCCGTAGTGACTGGAGACATCGCCAACTGCCTTAAGGCAGAAGACAAGAAGGCAGAAATCAGCTTACGTAAGTCATTCCAAGCAATAACCTGGGCCATTAGGGCAGCTGCTTCTGCATCCTTTTTCAATAGGTCAACGGTGCTGTGGCTGGAACAGCTGAAAGACAGGACCCCGGCCACAGAGGTACGACTGCTACAGGACATCTCTAAGGTGCTGGCAGCCATGCAGTTCTCAGCAGACGCCACCCTGGATGCAGTTAAGTGTGCTTCCTGAGCCTTGTCATCCTCTGTAGCTTCCAGGCGTCTACTGTGGTTGTGCCACTGACAGGTGGAGTCCCTGAGCCAAGTGGCACCTGGCAGGAGTGGACTACGCCGGGGACAAGCTTTTCGGTGCCTCACTGGATCCTATCCTGGTGGAGGACAAAAATAAGTGCAAGGTCTTCCCGGCTACCACCAGATGGTCAGATCACTGACATGCACCTTACCCCAGGAGAACATCTTACCACCCACCTGAATCGGACATCCAGAATCAGAGGTACCAAATCTCCAGGTTTCATAGACAAGGAGATAGGCAGTTTCCTAGAGACAGATTCAGGGTCCAGCAGCAGAGCAAGCGGCCCTTTCGAGGAGGGGGAGGTCATCCATTCTGCAGATTCAAGTGATCCATTTGCGGATCACCCCATCGGCAGTCGCCTCTCCCTTTTTGCGGATGCCTGGGAGCGCGTCACTTCGGACGAGTGGGTCCTCCAGACTGTTAAGCTCGGGTTACAGCTGGAGTTCTGCTCGCATCCCCCAAATAGGTTCTGTACCTTCGCCTCCTCTGCAGATCCGGCCAAACGGGCCCTTAAGGCTAAGGCCATCAAACATCTGTTAGATATCAAGGCCATAGAGAGGGTCCCATAGGGGGAGAAGGGTTCTGGATTCTATTCGAACCTGTTTCTGGTCCCCAAGAGTTCAGGGGAGTGGAGAACCATCCTGGATCTTAAGCTGTTCAATTCCAGGGTGGTCTACCATAGGTTCAAGATGGCCTCCCTGAAGTCCATCTTAGAAGGCATCCGTCAGGGCGACTTCTTGGCCTCTATCGATCTCACGGAGGTCTACCTTCATATTAGAATTGCCCTGAAACATCGTACGTTCCTTAGATTTTCCCATGAGGGCAGTCATTTTCAATATAGGGCCCTCCCCTTTGGGCTGGCTTCAGTCCCCAGGACCTTTACCAAGGTGCTGACCGTGGCCGCGGGTCACCTGCGTTCCTTCCCAGTTCAGCTTTTTTGCTACCTGGATGACATCCTCATCCTAGCCAGGTCCCCAGACACTGCCAGGCAGGACCTGGGGCTCATCATCGACACCCTCAGGTCCCTGGGGTTCTCTATCAACCTAGAGAAGCACCACCTGGACCCATCTCCAACACCTAGGGTCCATTATAGATTCAGTGTCCAGAAAGGTTTTCCTTTCCCAGGATCGAAGGGACAGCATTGTACAACTGGTTCAGGAGATACGCAAATTACGCTCTGTTCCTGTAGTTCTTCTTTCCAGGCTTCTTGGGAAATTCATTTCTTGTATAGGGATCATGCCTTGGGCTCGCCTACGTGCCAGGGAGCTTCAGTGGTTCCTGCTTCCATACCAGAGAGCCGGGACGAGCGACGCCAACTTCAAAGTTCAAGGGTCACCCCAGGTGCTGCTCTCACTCTGTTGGTGGCTGACCTCTTCAGGGAACCAGCGACATCTCTGGTTGGGGAACTGGGCAGAGAGGCATCTCCAGTCCATCAGAGTGGAGCACATGTCTGGGACAGAGAACCAGCAAGCGGATTGGCTCAGCAGGGAGACGGTCGACAACGGAGAGTGGCAGCTCCATCCCATCATCTTCCTGCAGATCTGCGAGAGGTTCGGGCACTCGAAGGTGGATCTCTTCACAACCCCAGCAAATGCCCAGCTGCTGAGATTTGTATCGAGGTTCCCATCCAGGGGAGCCATGGACACGGACGCCCTTCGCTGCAGTTGGCCACCAGGTCTTCTCAACGCCTTTCCTCCCTTTCCCCTCATCCCCGGGGTTCTGAGGAAGTTAGTGTCAGAGGGAGCAGATGATTCTAGTGGCTCCTTTCTGGCCCTGCCGCCCCTGGCTAGCAGACCTGGTGGAGCTGTCCTCAGATCCTCACTGGAGGATTCCCCCAGGGGAGGTGTCCATGCATCAGGGGTCTCTGGAGCATCCGGATCCAGAGTGGCTCCATCTGACCGCCTGGCGATTGAGCAGGAACAACTGAGAGGGGCACAATTTTCCGCGAAGGTCATTAAGACCATCGAGGCGTGCAGGAGGCAGTCCACCACTCGCATCTACAACACCTCCTGGGTTGCTTTTGCAGACTGGCGTCAAGCAAGGGACATCATCCCAGCTTCGGCATCTGTACCCCAGATTCTGGACGTCCTACAGGAAGGTCTGGAGAAAGGTCTGGCCCCCAGCACCCTTAGGAGACAAGTCTCTGCCCTATCCATGGTCCTGGGGTGTGTGTGGATGGTCCGCCTTTGTCTCAACATCCGGTCCTAAGGCGCTTCCTTAAGGGAGCGGCAAATCTGAAACCCCCAGTGGTCCATCGTTTCCCTACCTGGGACCTACCCACGGTCCTCCAAGCATTGACGGAAGCACCATTCGAACCCTTGAGGGAGGTTTCTCTACAATTTTTGACCCTTAAAGTCATCTTCCTGGTTGCCATCATCTCAGTCAGGAGAGTATCTGAGCTCAACGCTCTTTCCACTAGAGCGGACCTCTGCACCTTTCTGGAGAACCAAGTCATCCTCAGACTGGACCCCGCGTTCATGCCCAAGGTCAATTCTCCCTTTCACAGGGCTTTAGAGATAGTTCTGCCAGACTTCTGTCCGCAGCCCTCCAGGGATAGGAAAAGATCATATCACAGGTTGGATGTTAGAAGAGCCTTGCGCATCTATCTGAAGCGCACAGCGCTCTTTAGGCGTTCAAAGGCCCTCTTCGTGTCCTTTCAGACATCTACCTGGGGAGCCAAGGTTTCCCCGGCCACCATCAGCAGGTGGATCAGAGTGGCCATCTCAAAGGCCTATGAGGCACGGGGACTCCAGATCCCAGAGGGCATCACAGTGCACTCCACCAGAAGTGCAGCCACTTCGGCGGCCTGGGCCACCCAGGCTCCCATAGAGGAAATTTGCAGGGCTGCCGCCTGGTCCTCTCCCTCACCTTTCATCAGGCATTACCATTTAGATGCTTACGCCTTCGCAGAGGCGGCTTTTGGGAGGAGGGTTCTTCAGGGAGTTCTAGACACTCGAGAGGCTCAGGCCCAATGATCCCTCACAGGGACCCTAGCTTTGGTATGTCCCATGTACGACTCCTGTCACGCCTCACTTCGGAAACTGTCAGTTGGTCTTACCTGAACTGCATGTTTCGAAGGGGCCTGAGTCGTTCAGTGGTCAGTCAGGGCCAGGTAGGAAGGATGTGTACATGTGCTGTCTCTGTCCCTTCCTTCCAGGTGCTCTGCTACGAACAATCAGTTAATCTGGGAGGTCAGAGGGAGGCACGGAGGTGTGGCCTCAAGATTTACCTCAGTCTCCAGGGCAAAAGGGCTGTGATAATACCCACGTATGACTCCTCCCACGCCTTCTTCGAAACATGCAGTTCAGGTAAGACCAACTGACATTTTTTGACAGCCATGTATATGTAATTTCAGAAAAAATCATAAAGTATATATGCAGTTGCAGATAAATTAATTTTACAAAAAGGGGACTTATTTTACTGGTAATTTTAATCAATAGTAATTCAGATTATACTGCACTCTTTTTTTTTGTCCTCATTTTTAAGTTTGCTATTTTTCTATCTACACACACACACACACACACACACATACACACACACACACACACACACACACACACTAAACATTTTGGTAGGCTGGCAGGTTTTCCTGCATTGTGTCAAACTCAATTGCAGAAAATATGACTTCAGCAACAGAGTAGTCAATGCCTGGAATGCAGTACCCAACTCTGTTGTTACATCTTCAAACCCCCATAACTTTAACCTTAAACTCCCTAGCGTGGACCTTGCCCTTTTCCTAAGAGGTCTGTAAGGGGATGTGCATAAGTGCACCAGTGTGCCTACCATCCCTATCCTATTATCCGCATTTATTCGTATCCATTTCCTGTGTTCATGCCCATGTTTATGCCTGTTATCTTGTTCATGTTGAACAAACAAACAAACAAACAAATAAATGGTGTTAGTAACCTAGATCAGTGTTTTTCAACCTTTTTTGTGCAAAGGCACACTTTTTTCATGAAAAAAATCACGAGGCACACCACCATTAGAAAATGTTAAAAAATTTTAACTCTGTGCCTATATTGACTATATATAAAGTAATTCTCCCACGGCACACCTTACACTATGTCACGGCACACTAGTGTGCCGCGGCACAGTGGTTGAAAAACACTGACCTAGATTGACAAGATGAGGAAGCTGGGCATTATAATGATTTTCTAATTTTAATTCTCCCTTTTGTTTGTTTCCAAGGGGCAGATTTATCTTAAATTAATAAAAATCTTTTTTTCCAATAAATATGGAATTTTCTGAAGGAAAGGGATTGAATCACCTTTCCTTTAGCAAGAAAGTTCTGATGTGTTACTCACATGCGTAAAGGTAGAACTATTTTGTCCTTAGTACATTTGTCAGAAACAAATTCTAAAAGAAATTAATTTTTAAAATGTGAGAAATGAAAGTGGGTATAAAGCTGATTCAGTATTCCATAAGTATTTACATTTATATTTTTGTAGGCTCTTTCCTACAGACTTGTTTGAAAGCTTCATAGATGTTGGGCATTATATTCGTGAGATCAGTGCCTATGAAGAGCTAGTATTGAAATTAAATGCGCTACTGGTGGGTAGTATATGTTTTTCTTTATTCAAATGAACTCAGTCCTTGCCAAAATGTTTCAGCTTACTCTGGTTTTTAAATGTCATCTTTGAATAAAATATTGCAAAGTTTTTGAAACAGAACTTTGAAAACTGCTTTTGTACAAGTGATAGCTGTATAATGCTTTGCAGTATGTTTTGTGGCAATCTTAAGACACCATACTTCTTTTCATGTGCTCTAGCTACATGAATTTCTTTTAAGAATGGAATAGTCAAAGAAGTGTTCTTGATTGAGATTAAAAAAAAAATGGGTGAAAGTGGTTTTTAAGGGAAAAGTAGGACTTTTATAAATTATAATTGTCTAAAATTACATCAATAAAGTAACTTTTGTAACCAGGAAGAGGAAGTTAAGCAAATCTCTGAAAATATTGAAACTATAAATCAGAATAAAGCACCAATGAAATACATAGGCAATTATGCAGTTTTGGATCATCTTGGCAGTGGAGCATTTGGAAGCGTTTATAAGGTAAAAGCGCCTTTGATTTGTTTTGAATATTGCTTTTCATACTCCTCCTCACACTTGATTGCAGATATATGTTATTTATTTTTATTGGCAAAGGAAACCAATATGTTGATTTGACTTAGCATTATTTGTAAATAGAACATTTCCAGTAAATTCATTGAAACAAAATCTTTCAGGCTTGGACTCCATTAACATTAAAAGTTTTTAACATTTTGAGTACTCGCCTATATCTTCAGATTTGTAGCAAATACTATTTTATTAATGTAAACATTTCTAAGATAATATATCTCAAATATTTTAAATAATTTTTACTTAGTTATATAAATAATAATTAGTAGTGCTCACAATGTGACCTGCCCAGTTTCCAGAGATTTTGACTTTCTACTCAAATCTGTTAGGACATTGAAATACTTATATATCTTCCAAAAATATTCTCATTGCAAAATGGGAAATTGGAAACTACATTGTAATTTCTATCGTATACTATCTGTTCATATCATTTTTTCTTCTTGCTGTAGGTTAGAAAACATAGTGGCCAAAACTTTCTAGCAATGAAAGAGATTAATTTACATAATCCAGCATTTGGAAAAGATAAAAAAGATCGAGAGAGCAGTGTAAAGAACATTGTCTCTGAATTAACCATAATTAAAGAACAGGTAAGACTAAACAAAAATAAGTTTCAGAGAAATTATTGGGAGAAGTCTTTCAATTACAGTTTAGATGCCAGTTAAAGTGAAGTTATTTTAATTACTATGCTACCCTGAGTATGTGTTGGCTACCTACTTTTATTCTCCTGCTTAGGTTTTTCATTGCCTGCTACCTGTACCTATTCATCCCTAGTAAGTTTGTAGGCGACTAGGAAACTGCTATAGTGCACGTTCCTTCTTAACCTGTTGCAAGCCTTGATTGAGCTGTATGATTATTCATATATTTGCAGTTGAAGACTAATCAAGAAAAAAAATTGAAATTAGCAATAAGCTCTAAAAGCATAATAGAGATATTGTAATATTGATGGTATTCTTTTATCTGTTGCTAGTGCAGTCCCTTCAAATAAGCATTAATGCTACCCAAATGTCAAAAGACATTCTAATATTCAAAATCTAACTTGCCATAATTTCCATTCAGAGGAATATCACCGTTAATGTTGTACTGCTTCTAGAATGAGTAGGGTCCATTTTATCTTGGAGGAAGAAGGGTAGAGGGTAGCAATGGGTGTGTTTCACTTACTAAAAGTCTCTTACTTCCAAGCCATTCAGACTGAAATCATTGTACCAATTTGCCACAAAATTTCAATGGTAGAATTGATAAACAGATTAAAGGTAGGCATGAAGGTACTTTGTGCTTCCTTTCAGCCTCTTATTTTTTGAAAAAAAGAAAAGAATATTGGAGTACTGACTCATATCCAGTATATCACAGACTGCCCACATCTAATCTAACATTTGTACATTTTTATTTTAGCTTTATCATCCCAATGTTGTACGATACCACAGAACCTTTTTAGAAAGTAAGTATAAGTCTACAAAGTGACAATCTACAATGTATTACTTTCATATATTATTTTTTTTAAAGTGAAGTAGGGACTATATCAGAAATGTTTACTTTTGACATCTTCAAGAAGATTATTTTATGTTTTTTGAAAAGTATTAAATTGTTAGTTAAAAGACAAGGGAAGAAAGGGAATGTATTGGAAGCAGAAATTAGAAGTTTGAACAAATAGCATTATGTTAGCTTTAAAAAGACTTTGCTTTTTCAAGAGCTGAGGTTTTTAGATATCGGAGTATCTGTGAGTAGACTTTGCCTTTTGAAGAGCTGAGGTGAATGTATGGGGGAATATATATAGTCCTTGACTAATAACCATTTGTTAAATGACTTTTCAAAGTTATAACAGCACTGAAAAAAGTGACTCATGATCAGTTCTCACACTTAGGACCATCGCAGCATCCCTATATTTACTGATAGTTCCAGCAGCCATGCTCCTTGGATTATTTGCAACTTTTATTATGACAAGCCAAGTCAATGGAAGAAGCCAGATTTGTTTAACAATTGCATAATTCACTTAACAACTGTAGTGATTCTCTTAATACCCATGGCAAGAAAGGTTGTAAAATAGGGCACAACTCATTTAACTGCCTTGTTTAGCAGTGGAAATTTTGGGCTCAATTATAGTCATGTCAAGTTGGATGTTTCAAGAACATAGTGAGTGGGCAGTGATTATATGTGAGTAGAAGTATGATTCTCTATTTTTTCCTTGATGGTTATAATGAATTTTGGAGATGTTGCTGAAAATTCGCAAAGGTGCTTTTTCAGGAGACTTTCTTATATTTTTCTTTGAAGATGTTTTGTTTCTCATCCAAGAAGCTTATTCAGATCTGACTGGATGGTGGAGAAAGGAGAGATTTATATTCCCTGCAGACAGCTGGTCATTTGCATCATTTTTGAGAGTTGTTAAAGCACGTGGAGGTTTACCTGTGTCCTCAGGATCACCTGAGTAGTGCTAACTGTTCCTGTAGTCTGCAGTTTTTCTGGAAATGCCATACCATTCGAAGGGTGTTCATCACAAATTGCATAGCTAAAAGTCTACAGATATTCTCAGTCATCCAGGTCATGGTTATCCCAAAGGAGTTTTTTCAGGAAGCAACTGGACTTTCTTGTTTTTGTCTTCAAAGAAAAAACAACAAAGTTGAGTTGTCTCCTGAAAAAGCATCTTTGGGACAACCATGACCTGGATGACTGAGAATCTCTACAGACCTGTTGCTGAAAATTGTGTATTTTCAACTATAAGCCAAGTTGAAGAGAATTTTTTTTTGTTTACCTCTATGAATCTGTTCCAACGAACATCATAAAGGATATGCATAACTATTGTCTACAGAAATAAATTATTATTGTTACTATTTATTTCATCATGAATAGATGATAGATTGTATATAGTCATGGAGCTCATAGAAGGAGCACCCCTTGGAGAACATTTTCATTCTTTGAAGGAAAAACAACAGCAATTTACAGAAGAGAGAATATGGAATATATTCATTCAAGTAAGAACCTGAAATTGCCTTCATTGCTTTCCCCTACATGTTTTCTGGTCATGCAATTAATCAGGAGTCTGAAAAGTTTGAAAACCATGTTAGCGTCATAAAATTATTTTCAAGTTACTCAAAGGAAAGTTTTCCAATAGTCCTTTTATTCTTTTGTTATTTGGACAAAAGGCAAGGCAAGCATGCAATTAAGCTTAATTAATTCCTTTATATATGTACATATACTTGTCTAATTTCAAAGCTATCTTACTATTACAAGTTATGCCCAACAAGGCTAGTCAGGTTACTGTGCCCAACAAGGCTACTCAGGTTCTGTAAGTATTGCTGCCCAACTAGGCTACTCATTCACACAATATTCACATATATTCTCAACACAGGTGATCAGGCTGTATTTGAGTGGGCTGGGAAGCAGACTCAGGGCATCCCATGCTCCAACCAGAGCCGTCTCGAACTTCAGAGTCTGGGTTCATTCCAATTTTCTCTTTATACCCAACTTGTTTACTCAAAATCCATGTGTATGGTACATCTTGCCCCGTCAGGAACTTTACATCCTTACTGTTTGTTCCAAGACTTCACTACATTCCGTACACCCTCTAATGCTCTACCTGGTATCACTAACAATAAATCATTCATACACATACTCAGAATCTTTCCTTATCAGTAGTACACACATTCCAGCAATGTCTGTTCCCAGTGAGTTTATGAAAAGGCTAACTATGGTTGTATTACAGGCCTTCCATATTTGTGATATATCCATAACATATAACATAAAATATGTAAGATTATGTAAGAGGGCAAAAAAATAATGTGGCAGCACTTTTTCCGACTAACATATTTTTAAAAGATCTAAACTTTTTTGAGCTTATTTGTTAGTTGGAAAAGGTACTGCCTTACTCCTATTTTTTATATACCATAACCTAACATGGTTTTCCATCTGTAGGGATCATATAGTAGATAATATATTGATGTTTATCAAATGGATCTATCATTTTGTCTCTTTTGTCCAAATAATTGATGAAGATGTTGAAGATTACTGGGCCTAAAATAGAGCCTTGGGATACTCCACTACAGAGGAAAGTTTCATCCTCTGCAGCTGCTCTGGATACTGTGCTGTCACCCCACTCCGCAAAGCAAAAAATGGGAGTAGTACACTTTGATCTTCTAATGAACTGTGGTATTATTTTGATTATTATAGGACACTCACAAATTACCCTTTCAGATGGTTATGCTTCAGAACTTTATTTCCATAATAATAAATTGTTTAATTAGTGCTGGTGTTTCTCTCTTTGTATTGCATTAAGTTTTTTTTTATTATTATTATAAAGCTATGTTTAGCTCTTCGGTATTTGCACAAAGAGAAGAGGATTGTCCATAGAGACCTCACGCCAAACAATATCATGCTGGGAGATAAGGATAAAGTAACAATCAGTAAGTTCTATTTTTATGTTCTTATTGACATTTGATAGAAAATAATCAGGATGCTAATAACAATAATAAGCTAGTAATAATACCTATATGTTACATTTACTCTGAAAAATATCTCAGTACAATAAGTGCCACCATTTAGTTGAGGAACATTTCCTCTTTTTAAATATAGTAACGTGTCATTTATGATCTACAAATAATAATATGGCAATATACTGTAGGTATTAACAGCATGGGTTTTTCTTATTTTCTTTTTTTTTTGTTTAGGTTTCTTGAAAAAATGCAGAGTAGTGAGCTATTTCTGTATACATTAAAATATTTTGCTATTTTTAGTGGAGATTCCAGAAAATACAGTATCTATTGAATAAGTAGGTATTTTTTCTATGTGAAATTGTATTTTTCCAGAATTAATGCTGTTATTTACATTTTATGCTGTTTATTCAAAATTGTTTCTGTCTGTTCTTTCTGTTTTTAAATCAGTTGTTTTATATTTTTCCTTCAGAAGGAAACATTTTGCATAATTCTGCTTGCCTACCTACTTATCTATCTATCTACAATATATCTCTCTTTATCTCTGTCTCCATCATCTCTATTTAATCTATATCTGTAATCTAAATTACGTTCACACATTGATAAATGAGATAGGAAAGGCATACCTAACTGATCGTATTAGTTATTTGTATATAAGTATAATATGAATAATCCCTGCAGCTATTCCATACAGTTATTCTCTCCTAAGGATAGTTAACCTTGACTTTTATATTTTTGCACATGGTCGATGTCTTCAACACAATCACGTGTCTTTTATTAATTTTATCAGACTATATGGTATTACAATATAAAATACAAATGAAAATAAAATCAGAAAAAGTGTGAAAGAGGATGTTGGATAAAAAGAAATGGAAAAGAAAAAAGTAGTGACTTCTGGATCCTTTCAGTACAATAAAATACTGAATGCAATTATAATGCCAACTTTTGCTTTGCATTTCAAATAACTAAAGGCTATTTTCTATAGTTACAAAATCAATCCAGTCCTCAAAATGTAAAATCAAAGCCCCCCCCTTCTATATGGAGCATAAAATCCAGAAGCAAATTTGACATGGAAATGAAATTGTTCTCTTGGTTTACTATAGTTGGTTTTGCCATCTCTACTAAGTCCACTGTTTTTTCCATCTATTCTTCCATTGTGAGAAATGATAGAGCTTTTCATTTGCCCATATTGAATTTTCCACATATATAAATAGAAATAACTACATCTCTACAGAAATAGAGCACAACAATGATGAAAACTTTCTTAAATGCATTTGGGTCAATATTAAAGAAGGGGGGGGGATGACATTACCATAGGTCTATACTACAGGCCACCCAACCAAGCAGAGGAAGTAGATGAACTATTTCCTAATCAGCTAACTAAGGTATGTAGGAAGCACACCACAATAGTAATAGGGGATTTTAACTACCCTGA